ATTACAAAATACGGATTATTGAACGTAAAATAGTATACAATCCTCGGTGAAATATTCACTCCTTTCTCGAGAAAGAGATTACCTCGGAGCTTAGCGCCTCGGCCAACTACATACTTGATTTCTCGATAGTAATAAAACACATTCCGCCTCAGTGTGTAATATACTATTTAAACGAGATAACAAGCAAATCCGAATAAGCCAATGTATTGGAGGATTGCGGGTTTAATATGCGAATGCAAAACGGATATTATGAAGAATTCACTATTAGGACAGACAGGACAGAATGGAATATAACCGAAACTATTTGTCGAGAAATATCACAAAGATTTTGATTAAAATCCAGAAAGAAGCAAGGAAATTATTTGTTTTTGTTTTTTTTTTTTTGGATGATTTTTACAAAAAGGGCCATGAATAGGAAATAAGAATCAATTGAAAAAATAAGGCTTGGCGAGAAGTTGAAATACCTACCAAAGAATGTAGAAATATTAGGAACAAAGTGGGTATTTGCCGGCAAACCATTAGAAAGATAAAATTGAAGCTAGCTATAGGGCACGATTGGTCGTTAAAGGATTTACACAAAATAATTTTTTCAAGTATTTATGGTGAGATTAGCGCAAGAAAAATGACATCCCATCAGGGCTTTGCATTTTTACATGAAAATTTGAAGGAGGAAGTCTATGCTTGTCCACCTGATGTATATTGCGCCGAAGCACGTATAGGTAAATACTCAAACTCTATGATAAATCACTTTACGGATTATATCGAAGCCACAAAATGCTGGAATGAAGAAATCAATAAATGTTTGATACTGGTTTAAAAAGAACAAAATGTGATTATTGTTTGTATAATAATAAAAGTTGAGACAGAATTTGTTGGATGTTGATGACATTAATTTGTTTAGTAGGACCCATACTCAGATTATTCTAAAGAATGCAAAAAGTTACTGAATAAAAAAAAATAAAGTTAAAGGAAACTTTGTAGATTTGGAAATAAACTATGATAGAGAAAAAGACAATATGGAATAGGCCAGAAGAGAAACATGGAAGAAATTTTATAGCATGTTTTGTTCGAAAATTTGATTCAGTCTCTATACACCAATCGATTTAAAGACTAAATATAGAAAAAGAAAATGAAGAAAAGAAACGAGTTAGACAAATATGAGAATGTTTGATGCATTAAATGTTGGGCTTATTTCAGCGGATCTCCAGATCGAAACTCAAATGAAGTTTCGACGCATCTGAAGAGAGAATTAAAATTTGACATGTTGTTGATATCTAACCGAATTTTTTTTCTCGAGCTTTCTGTAGAAATGATTGCCACCGTATAACCAACGAGGCTAAGAAGTTACACATTCGACCAGTGCGTAATCAACTTTTGGACTGATCGAGCAGATCAAGATCCTTTTGTTCCCTTGCCAACACCATATGAAAAAATTCCCCATCTTTCTTCTAGTTAAGGACAATAATTCCATTGTATTATCGTCAAAGGAAAAAGCTCTTTGCCAAACAATCTGCTTCCAATTCCGCGATGCAGGACAATGGCAAAGCGCCACAGGTACCTACTGCCATACATTGGTTTTCACATGAACAACGTTGTATTTAGACGTAAAACTATTAGGAAAATTCTTCTGCAAAACTTGCGCGAAGAATTTGCTTTAGTTCTTTGCATGCTGTTTTCATACTCTTACAGTCGGAGGGTGTTTCCGTCTATCTGGAAATGTGCCAGAGTGCAGCCCATCCCGAAAAAGATCAAGAAAACTCTTCCTGAAATTATCGTCCCATCTCACTGATATCCGTACTTCCGAAAGTAAGGGAAAAGGCAGTCAACCTAAAACTGGTTGAATACCTCGAAGCCAATAAGCTGATCTCTGAAAAACAGTACGGGGTTCCTTCTTAAAGATCAATAGGGGATCTGCTAAAGTACGTCAGTCATATTTGGAACTCGACTCTCGAAAAACATGGTGAATCCAGAATTGTAGCATTGGACATCATCAAGGCTTTTGATCAGGTATGGTACAAAGGTCTTCTTAGCAAACTTCCATCGTATGGTCTTCCGAATTAATTTTGGCATTGGCTGGGCGGCTTTCTGGAAGACAGACCAATGCCTGCTGTGGTCGGTGGTGGTCTTCTGATACAGAGCCTTTAAATGCCGGCATTGCCCAAGGTTCAGTTCTGTCTCCAACTCTATTTCTCATTTTTATAAATGATTTGTTAAATTTGTCGTGTAAAGAAACCCCATATACAGCTTTATGGAGGATAGTAGCTTGATGTCATCTTTCTCTTCTGATAAACCACTGCAGCCACTTCCACACGCCTCGCCCGAGAACGAATCCATTCTATCAACAGTGATTTTGATACCATTACCAACTAAGGCTTATAACAACCTAGTCAAATTCAATGCTATCAAAACTGACAGTGAAAACCGCTTCTCAATAACTAGGTGTTCTGTTTCGTGCAAAAAGCTTCTTTACTTTTGAACAACTTCTTCTCCTCTATTAGGTTCAAATCAGACCATGTATGGAATACTGAAAGCAGTGAAAATCGATAGTCCCCGATTCATTAGAATCTCTCGAACAGTCGCAAAGTGGCCGACTTGGCGTTATTCTGTCGCTATTACCATGGGAGTTGTTCTGACGATCAGGGTCCTTATTCTTGGAACAGGGGAGCAGCGTTGCCAGGTGAACGAGTGTTCCGTCTTTCTCAATGATATGCAAATGATAAGATAAGTGACAACGGAGGAATACTCGTTCTCCTGGGAATGCTGCTCCTCTGTTTCAAGAATAAGGACTATCACTATTACCATAAAAGATGTTCTGACGATCTGGCCAGTCTCATTCCACCCAGGAGAAGTAATTCGAGAACCACAAGAACCTCACGGGAATCCCATCCGTATGTGGTAGAGTTGGCTACTCCGAGGACCTCGAAATATAGGGCTTTTTTTTGATGGCGTACCGCCCTTTCCTGGAATTCCCTGCCTCCTACTTCATTTCCTGAAGTATGTACGAAGCCTAATGTTCAAGTCTGTACGAGCAAGCTTAATGTTCAAGTCATTACGAGCAAGCTCCGTGCAGCTCTGAACATTAAGCTCCGCATAGACCTGAACATTATGCCGAATAACAAACAGAACAACGAACCGAACGACGATCGAAACCCTAAAGCTTCGTACAGACTTGAACTCAACGACGAACAACAAACAGAACAACGAACCGAACGACGAACAAACCACTAATGTGGACGTGGCTACGAACGGCCAGGATTTGCGAGCCTCCACATTAGTGTTTCATTCCTCGTTCGGTTCGTTGTTCTATTTGTTGTTCGGCGTATTGTTCAGGTCTGTACGAAGCTTAATGTGGACGAGGCTACGGACGCGTTTGCAATCCGGGTCGCAAATCCTGGCCGTTAGTAGCCCCGTCCACATTGGTGTTCCGTTCGTCGTTCGGTTCGTTATTCTGTTTGTTGTTCGGCGTAATGTTCAGGTCTGTACGAAGCTTTACGCCGAACAATAAACGGAACAATGAACCAAACGACGAACGAAACACTAACGTGGACATTCCTGTTCGCACAAGTGATACTACATTTTTATTTTTTAATCAACAGAAATCTAAGTCACCAAGCTGGTTTGTGAGAAAATTTCATTTCTAAAAGTTTTTTTGACTTTGCTTGGGAAAAACAACCAAAAATCGAGATAATAAAATGGATTAAAGGACTTTTGACCTACCCACCTACATTTGCAGACTATGTTCCGATTCCGTTGAAAATAGGGTGTTTTTAATTTGTATCTGATTTTTGTGACTAAAGATCATTTATATGGTTTAGTTTAATAGTTCCATAAATAGAAAGTAAGTCATTTGATTTGGAAAATCGATTATTATCAACTACACTCTATTGTAGGCAGAGATCAAACATAAAATTCCAGGATGTGACAAACAAAAATCTTCATCCCTGAGAGAAGCATCGCAAAGCGACAACGAAAAAAAAAACAATAAAATATAAAAGATAGAATAGAATGGATAGGCAACTAATCGATGACCCAGAACTCCAACTGAAAAAGCAATGGAAAGCACTAGAAAAAACAAGACAGTTGAAACACTCTATGGTAACTCAAAAAAACAAAATTAAACAGGGTAGCATAATCAGCAAGTGCTTAACAGAGGATGATGTGTTTACCAAAAATAAATACTATAGGGTCGTTTCTGGAAATATGCAAATAAATGAAATTACAAGTCACTTCAAATTTTAAAAATGCGCCGTTGTTCAAGAAAGCAGAATACTTTTGGCAATAATTGGCATCAACAAATTTCAGATTAGGCATGGCTTTTTCAATATGTTCTTTAAAAAAATACCTCAATAAATTAATCATTCCATATAAAGGATGAATTCAAAAAAATGATTCTTTCTCATAAGGTCAAAGTAATAAATCAGACACCTCTTCTTCATTTACTCTTAACCAAATTAGTAATTTGTTTTTATTTATGGGCTTCCACTGGCTAACTTTTTATCTTGAAAGAAAGTTGAGGAAAAGCCTATAACAATAAAACCTTGTCTTGTGCTAGAAACCCAATTGCACCCGAAGAAAAACATAAATTAGCAATAATATCCCATTAAACTTAAGTCCCACCTACCAAACCAACACAACAACATACAAATAGTGGTATCTTCAAATAAAAAAAAAACTTTCACCCAGGCACGAAAAAATCATCAATCAATTTTTGAGAGTCTTCAATCACGAATTTAAATTTCTTAAATGCCTATCAGCTTTAGATTTAATTGGTTATGGGATAAAAATTATTTAAATTGAAATTGAAGAACATCTACCCACGTGATGGTGTGTTGGTTTTTTATTTTTCTAGGTCGCCTTGTAGGTGCGGTCAACCGAAAAATGTCACATATTATAAACATGAGGAGGAGTTTTTTTATGTTGTAAAAAAAGGAGAAATTCCAGCAAGCTACTTGGTTCATTTTCATTTATATCGACGCAATTAAAAAAACACAACACAAAAATAAGGTGTTAAATCATTTATTCAATACTTCGACTGAAATAAACTTAAAAACTATGCCTGACGCAGCAAGCATCAATGGTAAAAATGTCTCATAGTCAGTATGTCTAGTTAAGTCCGTTTTTAAATCTAAAAAATAAATTACATAAATACTTATTTGTTCTTATGCCCAATGCAAGTTCCTGATCAAGAGATTATTGACATAAAAATTTACAAAGTCTTGCTCTTGATCAAACACACGCTATAGGGCGACGATTTGGCAGGTACAGAAACCATCAATAATTTATTAATTTCTATTGTTGTTGAGCTTCTGGCTGTTGGCCTCTGTATGCGAGTTGTTGAGCATCCATTGATCTTCCCCAACCTCCGTGTCCGGAACCTCCATATGCTGCTCCTCCTCCAATATCACCTGAGTAACCACCTCCATGACCGGAAGCGACTTCGTGGGTGCTTACATGACTGCTGCTGTGTTGAGGATGAGAAACTACTTCATAGGTTACGTGTTTTCCATGACTTTGGCTGGCAAGGAGTTTCTTGATACCGATGATGGAAGACAAAACTAGAGCGATTTTACCGATAAGCAAGGCTTTGCCAGCCAAGACAGCGATGGCCCAAAGAGCAAGTTTTCCGAGGATAGCTGCTTTAAGTGCAAGAGCGGCCATAAGAGCACCACCCATTTTATTTCCCTTTTTTCCCTTTTTGCCTCTACCTTCTTCCGTTTCATTATCTTCTTCTTCAGAAACGACGTCGTTGAAGCTTCTTGCTGTAGATTGCACTGCGTTTACGATATCACTGCCCTTAAGGTCAACCTTGACGGTGTGAGTGTTCAACCACCGAGCAACACGATCGAATAAGACGGTTTCAATAGAATCGTCACTGCTTAAAGCACGTGGAGCACCATCCTTTTCACTTCCGGTTTTGATAATTTGCACTCCATCGGTCACTGTAATTGTATCCTTTTGTCCCAAGGTCTTGTCGACAAAGTTGTATATTTTGTATTTTAAGCAAGATAACGAATCCTTTTTTAAACAATCGGTGTAAACAGCGTCCAAAAGGTCATTTTCAGTTTGAATACTATTACTGCGAGCTTCATCCTGAGTAGGAAGAGCTTGAGACACGACCGCCACGCACAATACTACGGAAAGTACTTTGAAGTTCATCGTTGTGATGTGATTTGCTGAATGATATGATCTTCCGGGCGGGCTAAACTGATATATAACAAAGTCTCCCTACCAGTGGTGTCTGTCAGAAACCGCACATTTTGGGCCTGTTTGGATTATAATGAGTACCGTGGAACCGCTTTCTCAAGACGCGCGCTCTAACCTCGTTTCGGAGGCCCTACCGTGTATGTATGTGTGCGATATGCAACTTCTTCGCCGCGGTGTGTCTTCTGTCGCGCGCAACATTTATTAACAAAAGTAACCGCGGTCATGGCGAAGGTTATGTCGGAGTCGGAGACCAGACAGACCGTGAAAAATGAACAAAACAAGGTTTAGTCTATGTTTTGTTTGCTTAAAGAATTGTGTGTTAGAATAATAAAGAAACGCTGCTAGTGCAATAAAGTGAATCAAAATGTTGCTAATATCAATTTTAAGATCTATTTTTTTAAATTTGTTGCTAGCAGATACATATATCAATTTTTTGCATTTGGTCAAGTTGCTAATCCAATCTTCATAATAAATATTGCGTGCATTGAAATTATTTAATAAATTCACCACTGATTGGTCTATTTGTTAATGAATTATTAAATAGGTTTTTTTGCTTATTGGTTGCTTTTGATTTCCCCTGTTTTTTCTCAGTAAGTAATCATATTTTCTATTTCTAATTCTTCACGATCCACTTCATCCTGGAACGTAAATCTTTTTCTATGTGTTTTGCACCAACGTCCTCTTAACCACACATGACCGTCTTTAAAAAAGCCAGTTACCATTTCTTCAAACATGGAAAAAAAAAATATCTCTTAGTCTTCCAATTAATTAAGTATTTGCACTACCTACTTATTATGAAAATTATCATTTGAAAACTAAAGAGAAGATAATTATGGCGTTAAATACTAGGCTTTGAAGCATTCAATTATAAATCATACTGATAAAATAAACATAATTTCACTTTTTTTCAGAACAAGCAAAGTAGAAGAAGAAACATTATTTTCTAAAATACAGATTTTACTTCTTATTCTTGATAAAAAAATCTACGTATACCTGATGGATAAAGTACCTATGGCTTACTAGCTTAGGCAATTTAGGTTTTATTCAATATTTTAGGTTTTTCAATTTTATTTTAGGAAACATTAAAATTTGAAATCCTAACTAGATTGTGAACTAATATCTATTAAATTACTTACAAAAAAAAAGGTTTTCATATTTTTGTAATTCCAGTTGAAAGGTTGGGCGAGAAGAATTTTAGTTGGGCTCTCGCCCACCCGCGCCTTTCCACTCAGAGCTTTACCACCATCAATTGCAAACTATGAAAAACCAACTGGAACTCGTGTAAAAGCCAATAAATCCTTTATTTTAGTGGTTGTGCATTCATGGCGTTTGGCGAGCATTAAATCGCATTTCTTAAATAAAATCGTTATTCAATAATCTCCTCTAGTAGCCAGGCTATCAAATAAAAATATAAGTTTCGCATAAATCATAAAAGTTAAAGGGTTCAGGCCATTCCATAATGTTTTGGCAATAAAAAGAAAATATAAACTTTATCTCAAATCATAAAACCCATTAGTAGGTACGTGATTCTTTTTCTACCTCTCTTATGTCATGGATTGCGATTTATTATTAGGTAGGTACTTAAAGCTATTATCGTTTATTACCTTGCAAACTGCCAGAAATTATTTGTCTTTTATGGCTATTATTTTTTTTTTAAACTAAATTAAAAAATAAAGCCCTAAGAGTTATGTCTATTCTATTAGATCGTATCAAAGCATTATGCTAGTGGTTTAGAGTCGGGGTAAATTAGACTCCTTTAGCATAATTAGAGAACAATCTGCGAACTAATTTGATTGGTTTTGAGGGACTAAGTATAGTTTTGCAAATTACCAAAACTTCTCATACGTTGTCAAGTTGAATAACAATTTTCGGAAGTTTTATTATTTTTGACTACCTTAGAATATAACATTATAACTACGTCATAAATTATATTAGCGGTTGTTTTTAATTACGTTCGCCGTTCTGCAAAAGAAACATTTAGTAAGAGGCTATTTAGCCCGTACTTTTTATTATATTGCTAGCTAGAATTCACAGACAGTGGAGTAAAGGAAAAATCATTATATTTCTCTCATGGTTTTGTTTGGGTTAGTAATTAATACCCAAGCCAAACATTATTAAAGCTTTTTGACTTGTTTTGTAATTTACTTCAAATGCACGTATTGAGAATTGAAAAAGCCGCAGCTTTTACCACTAAATTATCCCATTTTCAGGAAACTCATCCTATTGGATAACAATTTGAAAGCAATTTTCGTTCGCAAATTAATTGGCTATTATAATTTAAAAGAATATTCGATGGAAAAATAAAGCCAAAAACACTTCTGAGTGATTTATGACAAATAACATAATGATGATAATTAATTCAATGCAGAGGATGTAAGTTTGTGGATGATCCGGTTTCTCGTTGTCTTGTTCGTAATATTTATTAACGATGAAAAATAATATTCACAAAGACTTAAGTGAAGTACATAATTAATTGAGGGTAGAAATAAGGAGCCTTTTCTAAATCCTCAATTTTCAGAATACTGGATACTAATAATTAATAATACATACAAGATTAACTAGCCAGGACAAAGTGTGGTAGCTAATTGACACACAGACGATATTACGACTGACAAAAAACTACTGCATCATGACAAATAATATGACAAGTTGACAAAAGTATGATATAACATATCCTACCTTATATTACCTGGGCTAATTATTACAATAATTATATCTCAACACTCCTTAATTTATTATATCTTTCAAATTATCCAATACTTTTCGACTTAGAGGTTTCATCAAGATGATCAGTACTTTTAATATGTTTTAGTTCAATTGTTTTAATTGTTTTATCGACATGCTCTTGTATAAACTTCCTTGGTATCTCAAAATGCTTTTTTTCTTTATAGTACTAGCGGTTAGTCTCAAAAAAGGGCGATATTTGGCAAATTTGTCTGAAAGCACCAAAATGCACATGGACGTTTTTTAGATCATTTTAAGCGATTTGGCCCGCAGGGCCAGTCCAATTTTTGACTGTAACTCAAAATGGCGACGATTTTTCAAAATGGCGGACCATAAATCGACAATACTTATTCACCAACGGTTTTAAACGTTCAACATGTCGTTTTTAACTAATTTTGGGACGCAGATTTCATTAAAAATACTAGTTTTTATATTATCATTCAAGTTCATATAAAAAAGCTATACAGAGTTGTCAAAAAACTTTGCTATTAAAAAAAATATTTTTAAAAGAGGTCTATAAGCCTAGCAGTCCCAAGGTGGAAAAAAACTTCAGGAACTATGTAATAATTAGGTGATTTTTAGGTGCTAATTAGGGCCTCTAATTAAAAATTAGGTGCTCCTTTAGTTTTTGAGAAAATCAAAAAAAAACTAAGGGACTGTTAGGTTTATAAAAGCTGGCAGTCCCCTATAGTAAAAAATATATTTTTCAAATTTTTTCTTTGTATCAGAATTAGGTGCTTTTTAGGTGCTCCTAAATAGTCCAAGAAAAAATTGGATTGATTAATTATTAACTGAGTTACAGATTTTTTTCTAATTATTAGGGGACTGCTAGCTTTACGTCTACTTGTTGGTGTGTCAGAATGGCAAAAAAACTTCGGGATCTATATATTAATTAGGTGCTTTTTAGGTGCTAATTAGGACCTCTAATTGAAAATTAGGTGCACTTCTAGTTTTTGAGAGAATCAAAAAAAAACTAAGGGATTGCTAGGTGTATGAAAGCTAGTAGTCCCCTATAATAGTGGAAAATATTTTTCCAAAAATTTATTTTGTATCAGAATTAGGTGCTTTTTAGGTGCTCCTAAATAGTCGAAGAAAAAATAGAATTGATTAATTATTGACTGAGTTACAGATTTTTTTTTAATTATTAGGGGACTGCTGGATTTACGTCTACTTGTTGGTGTGTCAGAATGGCAAAAAAACTTCAGGATCTATATAATAAGTAGGTGCTTTTCAGGTGCTAATTAAGGCCTCTAATTAAAAATTAGGCGCTCCTCTGTTTTTTTTTGAAAATCAAAAAAAACTAAGGGATTGCTAGGTTTATGAAAGCTAATAGTCCCCTATAGTGAAAAATATTTTCCCAAAATTTTCTTTTGTATCAGAATTAGGTGCTTTTTAGGTGCTACTAAATAGTCGAAGAAAAAATAGAATTGATTAATTATTAACTGAGTTACAGATTTTTTTTTTAATTATTAGAGGACTGCTGGATTTACGTCTACTTGTTGGTGTGTCAGAATGGCAAAAAAACTTCGGGATCTAGATAATAATTAGGTGCTTTTTAGGTGCTAATTAGGGCCTCTAATTAAAAATTAGGTGCTCCTCTAGTTTTTGAGAAAACCAAAAAAAAACTAAGGGATTGCTATGTTTATGAAAGCTAGTAGTCCCCTATAGTGAAAAATAGTTTTCCAAAATTTTCTTTTGTATCAAAATTAGGTGCTTTTTAGGTGCTCCTAAATAGTCGAAGAAAAAATAAAATTGATTAATTATTAACTGAGTTACAGATTTTTTTTTTTAATTATTAGGGGACTGCTGGCTTTACGTCTACTTGTTGGTGTGTTAGAATGGCAAAAAAACTTCGGGATCTATATGATAATTAGGTGCTTTTTAGGTGCTAATTAGGACCTCTAATTAAAAATTAGGTGCTCCTCTAGTTTTTGAGAAAATCAAAAAAAACTAAGGGATTGCTAGGTTTATGAAAGCTAGTAGTCCCCTATAGTGAAAAATATTTTTCCAAAACTTTCTTTTGTATCAGAATTAGGTGCTTTTTAGGTGCTCCTAAATAGTCGGAGAAAAAATAGAATTGATTAATTATTAACTGAGTAACAGATTTTTTTTTTAAATTATTAGGGGACTGCTGGCTTTATGTCTACTTGTTAGTGTGTCAGAATGGCAAAAAAACTTCGGGATCTATATAATAATTAGGTGCTTTTTAGGTCCTAATTAGGGCCTCT